TTCTAAACTTCTTGCACAGCAGACTAGCACAGACTTAGCACATACTGGTTACTCTATTTATACCCATGAGCTATGAACTTTGTGTTTTTGGAAGAAGATTGCAAACAAAAAACTTTAGCTAATTAATAAAATGAATCAGAAATTAATTAGAAGGGCCAGAGATTTAGCTCAGTGGTTTTGCTGCTTGCCTCACAAGTGCAAGGTCCTGAGTTGTATCCCCATACCAAAAAAGAAAGAAAGAAATTAGAAAATGCATATAGAAATAGCAAATATATGCTTTGCTTCCAAGCATCATCACTCCCAAGGATATGATTCTAAAGTTCAAGTTTTGATACTATGCCAACACAACCATGGTATGGCTCATACCTGGCATGGAGTGGGGATAAATAGTGATTTCAGGAGACCATCACTGACTGAGTCTGGAACTCCTCAGGGCAGCCATGCTGCATTTGATTTTTAAACCAGGGATTGAAACCAGGATCTTGCTCTTTCACTCTTTCAAGGACAGCACCACTGAGCTAAATTCCCAGCCCCACGCCATATATATATATATATATATATATATATATATATATAAACACACACACACACACACGCACACACACACACATATATATGTATATACACTAACATTTATTGGTACATTTTAAGTGTATGTAATGATAACATTTATCATTGGAAATTTGCACCTGTACATGGTACATCCCACCCTTTTCCCCCATTATCCTTTCCATTTTGTACACTGTAATGTACAGTGTTGTACACTGTATTGAAATATAGCACAAATAAATTGACTTTCACCTTGATGACACATTAATCCCATTTAAATGAGTAGTCAAATTTTTAAAAACCCACAAAACTGGTAAGGAATTTTCATCTTCAGTTTCCTTGATTCCATAAATGATGGTATCATTTTACAATTCACAAAATCTTTTCAGTATTTTACTCCAACCTGGCCACCTCACTTCAGAAAAATAATATCCCCATAGTCAGCATCCTTACTGTTAAGGAACTCATGGAATTGGTGATTCGATCCCTAAACCTCATGAAATTCACAGCTTTGGTGATGATTTGCTTAACATCTTTTTTTTCTTTATTCTTTTTTTTTAGAGACAGGGTCTCCCTACATAGTTCAGGCTAGTCTTGAACTCACTATTTGAACTCATGGGATTCTTCTGCCTCAGTCTCCTGAGTATTGGGATTATAGGAGTGCACCACAACATCTATTTTTATTTTTTTTTTGTACCGGGGATTGAACTCAGGACCTTACACTTTGAAGCAGGCGGCAGATCCACTGAGCTAAATCCCCAGCCAACATCCATTTTTAAAGCTTTAATTTCCTTGATGTATGATGCAACACTATTTTATCAAATGTGACTTGCCAGCAACAATTGCATTATCTCTTACTAATTTATAAATACCTCTCTTTCTTTACTTTCTTTCTTTTTTTAGAGAAGGTTTCACTCTGTAGTTCAGGCTGAATTCATTATGTAGCCCAGGCTGGCCTCAAACTTGCAGTGATCCTCCTGCCTCAGCTTCCTGAGTGCTAGGATTATAGGCATGCCCCACCATGTCCAGTTTAAATCCCTCTTCTTTACCAACCATCACAGAGTACCACTATGGCTACACCAGATATGGTAACAAAGTTTGAAGAAAGTCACTGTTATTTTTAATGCTTTACACAAATGAAGAGATTTAGCTGGATTTTGTTGTTGTTGTTGTTTTTGTTTTTGGTATCAGGAATTAAGCTTGGGACCCTGTGCTCGTGAGGCAGGTGGCAGTACCACTGAGCTAAATCCCCATCCCTTAGTTGTATTTTAATGGCATCGAAGAAACCATTTCTTCAGTGATACTATATTCATAATCTATAATGCTGCTAATTTAAAACAGCAAGTTGAACCATACCTGTCACATCAGCACTTTCATCTATTGCCAAAGGATAAAGTTTGAAATTAGCAGCTTCACTCTTACATCTTTTTCAGTAGACTTTTCCCCATTTCCTCAATTTATCTAGCCATAGTCTGGTGAGACAACCCTATTTAGAAAAATTAAGCAGCGTGCCTTATTTCTCTCAATAAAAAAGCACTCATCCATTTTCGACTGAAGACTTTTCCTTTTTCCATTTTTCTTTTCTTGGTTCTGTTTTCTTTGAGATGATGGTGAAGCCATTCTGTGATTCAGGTATGCTGAGAGGCTGAAGCAAGAGGATCACAAGTTCAAGACCAGCTGGGCAACTTAGCAAGACCCTGGAGCTCCAAGTCTTCCAGTCCGTGCGGGTCTGCCTCACCCCGAGGTCTCCCTTAGAGTCTCTGGGTGACTGAAGCGCTGGCAGTCAAGGTTTGTTTACCGTCACCATGGAAACCACGGCTGGGTGTGCGGAGCCGGACCTCCGCCATCACTCGCAGCGCTTCCGGCCCGGGCACCTGGAGGAAGAACCCGATAGCTCCCCACCTTACCCAACGCCATTGCTGGCGTGACCACAGGGGGGCTTTCCCCCCAATCCCACCTTCCTCTGGACCACGCTGCATCTTTTGAGCATACATTTTTGCTTTTGATCACCACCAGGCTTGACAAGCAAATGACTTCTACTCTTTGCAAACAAGCTCAAAGGACAAAGCCAAGCCTCCTAGAGAATCTCAGAGAACATGAAATCCTGGAAATGTCTGGCATATGTGAGGTCTCACCAGAAATGCGGCATGATGCAAAAGCTGCTGACACAAGAATCTCAGAATGTCTGAAGATGGGACAGCATTGTTATGATAAACAAACATAAATTTCATGTGTTTAAATGTAAGTCTGTGAGATTACTTTTCAGCTGGAATCCCAAAATCAGAGGCCAGGTAGGCAGCCTTTGAGAGAGAAGTTAAACTGGGTTGAAGAAAATGGGCAGTGGTGAGAACTCAGAACCCTTGGTCCCAGTAGGCCGGACACTATTTGCCAAATATTTCCATTTTTTACAAGAAGTCTATATTTTTATGTGAAATTGCATATATTTAAAATACTGTGGGAGTTGAGGGGCAAACAAACCAGCTCCTGTTTGCTGGTCACATCAACCTTAACCTGGAGCTGCCTACTCATTCTTAGCCACAAAATTTAAAATATTTGCTTGCATTCATGGCACTCTGGCCCTACTGGGAAAGAGGCTTCCTGTACAATGACTGTCCGTCACCTGTGTCCAGGTTGCATGTTCTTCTATCTGTTCTAGGACTTTGCTTATGAGAATCACCACTGTGATCCGACTTGATTTACTCCAGTGCCCCTGACACTGCTGTCACTATCTGTGAATGACTGCTCACTGAAAGCGGCTTGGACATCCTGAGACTCTGAGATCTCTGCAGCCCACCACTGCTCCCGCATCCTCAAACTCTTTATACCTTTCCTCTCTGGTTGCCTCTTCTGGGAGTGTTTTCTTTCCATTCCCTGACACCCCCATCCTCATTCTCCCTCTTCTTTAGAGGCTTTTGTCAGTGAGTCCATGCTCTCAGACCTGCCTGGCTCCCACCTGGCTCTCCCCTCAGCTCTGCACCTGCACAGCCTGTTTCCTACAGGTCCCATGCTGGGCTCAAACTTAGCAGCTCCAAGACTGCTCCCCTAGCACAAAACTGCTCCTCTCCCATGAAACCTTCTCAGGGAAAGGCCACTGTCATCTAATGCCTGAATCAGAAATCCAGAGTACTCCACCAGTTCCCTCACTCCCTCTCCACAAGTTCTATACATCTATCTGCCTAATAAGCAATTCTCAAATTCACCACTTCTCCACCTCCTCTAGCACAGCCATGGTCACCGCCACCTGGCACATCGGTGACTGTGTGCAAGCCCTCAGTCTCCTCCTCTTCAGCCGCATATCTAAAATTTGTGGACATAAAGCAGCCAGGCTCCTGCCCTGACTAAACCCTGCCATGGCTGCACTTCCTTGGATGCAGTTCAAACCCCTGCATGTGTGCTAATAATGGCTTTCCAAGCTCTCAGGCCACTTTCCTGGTTTCTCATCCCTCACTGGGAGCTCCAGCTCCATGAAACTGTGGACTTCACTTCCTCTTGGAACTGCACCTGCCTCCAACTTATGCCTGCCCTACCATATCCCGTTTGTGTGTCCCATGCCCATCCTGCAGGCTTCACTAGAAGGACCCCCATGCTGCCACCCTTTCTTGCTCTCCTAGATGTTTGGTTGTACACTCCCAAGGCCCCAAGTACACACTCCATTTCAGCACTTCCTGTGTTGACTGGGAGCTCTGTGAGGACAGGATACCCACTATTTTGCTACCTGTTTTCTCAGTGCCCAGCACAGTGCTTGGCACACAGGAGGCATCCAATAAACATTCACTGGGGTTATTTTTTTTTATGCATGCTAGTGATGTAGATTTGGAAAGGGCTTCAACTTTCATTGAAATCATGCACTTGTTTCAGTGAAAAAGCCAAAGCCCAGGGGAACAAATGGTGATGTTCCAAGTCCCACAAGCTGCCCTCTAAAAACCCAGGAAGCCCTCATCACCCTACCAACCAGCCCTAGGTCTCAGAGCCCATCAGGCAATCGCAGCTGCAGAGGACCAAACATTCTCCCTCAGGAGAGCACCTGGTGCAAAGTGTGATTGCAGGTACCCTCTACCTGTGGCAGGTGAGACTTTGGCAATGAAGTTACCTTGGGAGAGCTGCAAACAGGCCAAAGCACAGAGTGCCAGAGTCTAGGGTAGCATGCAATCTCCATGGGATGGCTAAAGGGTTGCAGGTTCCCTCTCTGCCTTCCCTTCAGCTTTAGCTGGCAACACCTGACATAAGGGGAATGTACATTGATGTCTCTTTGAAATCAATTTCCTAAACTAGGGCAGTGGCTTGGCAATTAAGCATCTTACATTTTGACTCAAAGCAGCCAATTACTAGCAGCTGGATACATTTAACTTATCTATGACAGAGGGAAGGGGGCACTTCCTGTGGATGGAGATGGGACAGCGAATTGAAGAGTCAGCCCCTCCCATCAAGTAACAGCCCAGGACAGTCTTGGAATTTGAACTCTTTTAATGACATTTTGAAAACACAGCTAACCATTCTTTTTCTCCTATTATGGGTTCCTGGTCCATCTGCCTTGGCCATGTTCTGTCCAGGCCCAGGAAGGTCTGCTTTCCATGGGGCATGTGCAAGGATTCTCTGTGTCTTCTTTTTTACACGTCAGAGCTGGGGACTTTTTGTGGACTTTGCCTGAACACGGGGGAGGGGGGCACGAAAATGGCAGAAGTCCAAACCATAGCGTTGACACGCCACGTCTCAGGGCATAAGGCTCTCGAATCTGAAAGCTATGAAAGGATCCCGGTGAAAACAGGCTCAGAAGAGCCGGGTAGGCGCCACCTCAGTGGGAGTGGGCCAGGTTGGGGCTGCCAGGTCCCTACCGGAGGCTGGGAGGGCGGCTTCACCATGGATGCGCTGGTGCCGCACCAGGTGGGTCTTACGGCTAAAGCTCTTGCCACACTGTGGGCAGGAGAAGGGGCGGGAGCCCGTGTGGATGGCTTGGTGGCGGACCAGGTTGGTTTTGGAGCTGAAGCTGCGGGCACAGACAACGCAAGAGTGGGGGCGACTGCCCGTGTGCACGGCCTGGTGGCGGCCCAGGTGCGACTTACGGCTGAAACGACGGCCACACTGGGCACAGGCAAAAGGCCTGGCACCGCTGTGAGCCCTGGCGTGGGCGACAAGATTGGGCCTCGAGCCGAAGCGACGGCC